GTTGATGCGTTGCAGATATTTTCCTGCAGTCTCCTGATGAAGAGGACGCGGGCTCATGAAACCATTCGCCATCTTCCCCCATCACTGAGAACAGATAGATGGACTCTGCTGACCGTGATATGAACATACAGGATGTATTAGACATGCGGTGTTGACAGTGCATGGCAACGCCACGGTGGAGTAGGGCAACTTCGGCGCCCAGGACTCTCAGCCAGAAGGGGCTGAGAGGTTCCACAATGTGAATACCTTTGGAGAGGAGGAACTGGCTGTTCAGTTCCTTCCAGGTTTTCCGGATAGGGTTGCCACCTGTCCAGGATTCACCCGGACAGTCCGGGTATAGAATGCTGTGTTCGGGTTTCATGGCCGCAGAAACCTGGACACAAGATGTCAGGCAGACAGGGGCAACCAAAATTAAGACAGGGGCTACTGGCCCCCCACTGAAAATAGCCTCGACTGTGATATTTACATATGAATGGGCGGCGCTATTTACATATGAATAAACCACGACTCATTCTCCCAAAAACATTTCCATGCGTCGCTAGAGTGTTCGGGTTTCGCTGGAAGAAAAGGTGGCAACCCTATTTCCGAACTATAGTGGGATCTCCAGTCCTGGGACCGGGTGTTGCCAGGTTGGGCTGATCGGGTGGCTGAGAGCGGCCTTATTAGGAAGCCAGCCCAGAGCTTTAGGGGAGAGTTGTGGGTGTGCAGGAGGCACAGGACCACAGGCACACTCTGCTGCGTGCGTGAGCACAAGGGACACAGCCAGGAAGGCTGGAGAGGTCCAGAGGGTTGGGGACCCTGAGATACCTGCCGGGGAGACAGAGAGAGACGGTGACCCGCGAGGGGTGAATAGTAACAGGCCTTAAGTTGAGGAAGCTGCTGAGGACTGTATATCCAGGGAAAGTCCCGGGACTATCACACTGGGAGTGTATGGGAAGGCCAGATGTCGGTGAGACCCAAACCATATTGTTGTGATGTAAGTCCAATGGACTGTTCTTTTTCCTTTATCACGGACTGTTGACCTTTTTGATGAATAAAGACCGTCCTTTTATGTTAAAGTTTAATTAATTAATACAATAACAAGTATCAGCTTTTTACACATTTGAAGTGGATTATTAAAGGAGAAGTACGGGGTCAGGGCTTTCCCCCATAGTTCTCCTTAGGGTAACGGGAGGACACAAACTAGCGTCCCTCCGTCACCCTAAGCTCAGTATATAGGGAGCTACAGCTCGCGGTATACTGAGACGCCGCCGCCGGAGCGGATCCCGACATTACTGACGAGATCAACCTGGCTGTGTGATTGACAGCCGGCTCTGCTATGTGTTCCCTCACCTCCCGATCTACAGGTTTTTCCAGAGACATTTTGAGAAGACGTTGCTTGTACCTGCAAAGTCCTATGTGGCTCTTTAAACAATACATTTCTGATACAATTTTAGATCTTAGACCAAAACTCGGGATAATTGAGGAGGAGAGAGGTACAGAGGGATTTGGTTACAAAAAGCGTGACAGTTCCTCCTGACGGGCAGCCGGGAGCTATGTGCAAAGTGCACTAAAAATATCTTTCAGGGTTATACAAAGCAGAAGTATTTGCTGTGCTGATGTATTTCTTGCTGAGTTTTGCAATAATCGCCACTGTTAAAATGCAGAGCTAAAGAGTGTTACAAGGTGCTCTCCCCCTCTCTCTCTCTCCCCCCTAGTCGGCGCGCACGAACGGGAAATCAGCGTTCTATGTACACAGCCAGCGATGGCTGTTTACAAACAAGTGTTCAGGCGTCTGTAGAGACGCCCGATCGCTTGTAATTGCGTGCGGGTGTGCGGCCCTCCGCCGCATTCCGAGCTCCGCTGTGCCCGGTGTGAGCCCGCGACCAGCACAGCAGCTCTGCGGCCGGAGATCAAACGGAGCTCAGTACACCATCTCCCTCCGATCTCCTCCTCCTCTTCGGAATTCAGGAAGTGACGTGTATGACATCACTTCCTGCATTCAGTGTCACTCTCCGGTACAGAAACCGAAGTGAAGCTGGTGAAGCAGGTCTCTGCTTCATCAGCTTCTCTGGGGGTCCCTAGGTGACATTAGGTGTCTTAAAGACCCCCTGATGTCTCCATAAAGAGGACCTGTCACTGCAAATTGGCTATCACATAGGGAGCTTGTTTGCTCCCTATGTGATAGCAATAAAGTTAAGTGGAAAAAAAAAAGTTTAAAAAAATTAAAGTAACAAAAAAAAATAAAAAAATTTTAAGTCACATATCAAAGCAATAAAAAATTAAAGTCCCCCTCCCCCACACGCAAACATGCGTCGAGTCCGCCTGTAATAAAGTTTTTTTTCAACATTTTCGGTCCTTTTTTCATTATATAGTAAAAAAAAAAAAAAACCCCTGTAGTGGTGATTAAATACCACCAAAAGAAAGCTCTGTCTGTCCCCAAAAAATGGTATAAAATTCATTTCAGTACAGCGCTGCATGACGGAATAAATGTCAGTCAAAGTACCGCAGCGCTGAATACTGAAAAATGGGGCGGGACAGGAAGGGGGTGTAACACCGCGGTCAGCAAAGGGTTAAAGGAGAACTATGAGGCAAGTGATTTCCACGCCTCATTTTGATCCGCTCCAGGTGCGGCGTCTCAGTATACCGCGAGCTGTAGCTCCCTATATACTGAGCTTAGGGTGACAGGAGGACGCTAGTTTGTGTCCTCCCGTTACCCTGAGAACTATGGGGGAAAGCCCCTCACCCCATAGTTCTCCTTTAATGGGAGCCATGTTTCCTGCCAATCAATGTATATATCTGTTAAGGTTAAGTAACACTTACAGCTCTTGTCCTTCCCCCCAGCTTGTGACTGGACAATGGACTGATGAGCTCATCTGTCTGTCACTCTACTTTCTCCTCCTGTCAGCATGCCTTCAGAATCAAAAATGCATGAGAAATTCCTTTTGTCTGCTCATACATTATATATATATATATATATATATATATATACATATCGTTGTACATTGCATTGTTCACATTGCATGCTCATCCTGAATGCCGCATGCTTGTGACAGGTTCTCTTTATTATTTCACAGTCCCGCCAGATTCCACCGTAAATAGTAAACTGCCGGCAAGCGACTTACCTTCATGCTGAGCTCATGTTGTCATCAATGGGCGCCCTCCATTGTATCACGAAGGAGAGAAAGGTGGCGATGTGCACAGACTCAGACTACGCGTCCTGATGTGGTTTAGCGAGCAGCAGAAAGAGGAAGCGCCAGGCACCGGAGGGTTACTCATACTTAGAAACAGAAATCACGTGTGACTGATGTGCCGATTGTTTATTCCGCCAAACAAAATCATTACCTCACATACAAAGTCTGCCAGCGGCCTGAAACCCCACCGCGCGGACAACTATGGAGGGACAAGCCATCCAGACCTTTCTACCATGGACTACTGCCAATGATCGTGGGCATTGCCCTGTGATCAGGGCCGGATTTCCCACAAGGCCAACCGAGGCCTGGCCTCAGGGCGGCAGGGAGTAGAGGGGGAGCAGGGAGTAGAGGGGGAGCAGGGAGTAGAGGGGGAGCAGGGAGTAGAGGGGGAGCAGGGAGTAGAGGGGGAGCAGGGAGTAGAGGGGGAGCAGGGAGTAGAGGGGGAGCAGGGAGTAGAGGGGGAGCAGGGAGTAGAGGGGGAGCAGGGAGTAGAGGGGGAGCAGGGAGTAGAGGGGGAGCAGGGAGTAGAGGGGGAGCAGGGAGTAGAGGGGGAGCAGGGAGTAGAGGGGGAGCAGGGAGTAGAGGGGGAGCAGGGAGTAGAGGGGGAGCAGGGAGTAGAGGGGGAGCAGGGAGTAGAGGGGGAGCAGGGAGTAGAGGGGGAGCAGGGAGTAGAGGGGGAGCAGGGAGTAGAGGGGGAGCAGGGAGTAGAGGGGGAGCAGGGAGTAGAGGGGGAGCAGGGAGTAGAGGGGGAGCAGGGAGTAGAGGGGGAGCAGGGAGTAGAGGGGGAGCAGGGAGTAGAGGGGGAGCAGGGAGTAGAGGGGGAGCAGGGAGTAGAGGGGCGGCAGGGAGTAGAGGGGTAGCAGGGAGTAGAGGGGCGGCAGCAGGGGTGAGGAATTCCTATCTCCCGATGCCCGGGCGGGTAGCTGCTTTCTACATTAGTCCCGGCTTTGGGCAAGCAGAGCTAAATGTGCAGCGGGGGGAAGCCGCCCCTTGTTTTGTACAAGTGATCTCGGCAACATTGTATGCAGCCTGCAGGTCTGCCGTTCTCCATGTGGGGGGGGGCGGAGCTTGGAGCGGTGACTACTCTACAACACACGCAGGGACCATGGGGAACAGCCCCCAGAGAACGCGCGCAGAGCCCCCAGAGAACACGCGCAGAGCCCTCAATCTCTTATTCTGCAGCCCCTGTTATCAATGATCAGGAATCCTCTATGAGTGTTCCTGATCATTGATAACATGAGGACAGAGTATGGTTACTATATCCACAATTATGAATGAACAGGAAGTGATGTAGATGTGATGTAGATCACTTCCCATTTCATAATTGAGGATATAGTAACCATACTCTGTCCTCAATTATCTGCAAACACTCAGCGATCACTGATCACCCGCTCTCCTCTCTGACACGCTGTCACAAGAGGCTGAGCGAGCGGTGCAGGGAGGAGAGCTCAGCCTGCTGTGACAGCGCTGGCTGTCTCCGCCCCCACACCGCTCTGCGATAGGCGGCTGAGCGGTGTGGGAGGAGAGACGCCGGCCGCTCACTGCGCTCTCGGCCGGCTGTCACACTTTCTCGGATGCACCGCTGTATTGGCAGAAAAACTGCACTTTCATCATTTAGCCAAGAGAGCAATTTTCGGCCGATATATTGGTGCATCCCTACTTTGTATATGTCCCTCCCCCCTCCCTAGCTGTAGAGGACAAGATTACTTAAAAAAAATACACTTTAGGAAAAGGAGAAATATTTTATTTTTTGGCGCCATAACATGGAGGACATCGCGGTGATAATTACACATATTTACAGAAGACGACGAGTGAACATTTGTCCATTTAATGCGATTTTCTCTTCTGCTTGAAAGCCTTTCCCTTCGGCCCTCCAACTTTACGCCCGGCGTTCGTCTTCGCGTGCTTCCCCCTCTGCGGGCCCTTTGTGCCGAACGCCCCCGGCTTCTTGAAGGTCCTCTTGTTGCCCTGGGCGGCGGCTGGGCGCTTGTGGGCCGCTTTGCCCTCCTTCGTTCTATCAAACTTTTGTCCCTTTTTGCCGGGCCGGGGCGACTGTCCTTTTTGGAACTTTGACTTTTTGTGTACGGAGAATTTGGCCTTGTGATGTTCCGGGCGGGAATCCGAATCCGATCTGCGCTTGGCGGGTCCTTTAGAACCTTTAAACTGCTTTCTGGGAGGTCCAAACTTCCGGCCCGCAAAGGACTTCTTACGTCCGTGGAGGAACAGGTCTGAAAAGAGGGAAAAAAAAATATAAAAAAAAAACATTTTTTAAAACACACAAGGGAAAGGGAGTATCGCAACGAGTCAACGAGAAATAGACATCTCCTGGGTTTCAAAACATTTACATTCAACACAAAAATATCCCTTTAGGCAGAGAAATCCCAAAGGTGGAGTCGTCTAATAAACGGGTAACAAATATATAATATGTTGATTTTTAATGATCGTATAAAAATTGTATCGCATCGCACAAACACATTTAAAACCTTAAACACGACAGAGGCTTCCCTTCAACAGTCCAAGTAAATGGGTGTCAGTGGTGCTGGTTATATGATTTCCCACAAGGGGTGGCGGGCAGTCACTGCTAGATAGATTAAACTGGAGAGTAGATCGGATACAATTGTATCAAAAACGCCAAGACCACTCACTTCGTTTGTAGCAGCAATATGACTGCTACACACAAACAATATATATATATATAATGTCTCCTGAAATATCATCCTTATACCCAATACGTAGAGAGAGAGAGAGAGAGATAGAGAGAGAGATAGAGAGAGTCAGAGAGAGAGAGAGATAGAGAGAGAGAGATAGAGAGAGTCAGAGAGAGAGAGATAGAGAGAGTTGAGA